GCTTGGGGGGGAGTTATGAATAATAATTACAAAAAGGTTGAGGTCATCCAAAAATTAATTCTAAAATTGATCCTCCATAGGGAGATTACTTATTCAAGTGATTTTCTATATGTGGAGGCTCAGCTATTAGATTGCAGACAAATTTATTTTTATTGTGGTCTAATACATTATTTCAAATATTCAAAATACTTTAATCGTACCATTCATAACTACCCAACAAGATTCAATCAAAATTCAATGTATATTCCACAAACATCAAAAACCATTACACAACGATCTCTGTTTTTCTTGGGACCAAAATTCTATAACTTCATACCAGAGTCATTAAAAGTAATTAAAACAAATAAATCATTTAAAAAACAACTAAAAAAATGGATTTTACAACAACCAAGGTACTCCATCCACGAAATTGTAGATCTGAAAAATCATTATCAAAATCAATAATATTTTATTTGCACTAACATCCATACTTTACTTCAGTTCTAATTGTCTGGATATTTTCCTGACATTACCATAATAATTCTCCAAATTATACAGTATTAACGGGTTTTTTCTTTTTTTTTAATAAACTGACTGTACTATTAGTTTTTATTTTGTACAAACCCAAACACAAGTGCAAACTTTTTTTGGGTGCTTTATGTTTATTGTGCACAATATTTGATATTTGTTGTATTTTGTGACAATAAACATTATTATTATTATTATTATTATTATTGATTTGGAATCGAAGACAAGATGACCAGCCCCTGGATGAAGCAACAATTGATGTTACTGTCCTTGTAAGTAGTTATGAATTACTATTAAGAAGATTTTGCAACTAAGAAGATTTAATACGTAACCATAAGAAGAATTTATCAAAAAACTCGTTTCTACAGAGAAGATTTTTGCTGAAGAATCCAAGTTTGCGTTTTTCAATTGAAATCTAATTTTGTGCATAGCTTTAAGTTTTGTTTTTACCTATTTTTACTCATTTTTATCTTGCATATTTTATACATTTTATTTTATACCTTTGTTAATCGTTTTGTGCCTACCGAAAGAGAAAGATCTCCTATAAGAATGGCTACTTCAAATCAACAGAATGTCGTTCAGCATGACAATCCTCAATTAATTTTTAACATGCTAAAAGATTCAATTCCTATATTTGATGGCTATTCAAACAATCTTTCTACATTTTTAAGAAAGTCTACAGAATTTTATAACGCTTTACCTATTTCCTATAAAGGACATGCTTTAACATTTATTAAGTCTAGATTACAAGTTGAACCTGCCGAATTTACAGAACAAACTAATCCTATCACTATTGAACACATTTCTGCTATTTTAACCACTAGATTTAAACTGAAGAAAATTTGACTCGTCAACTTTTGATATTAATTCCCCAGACTATAGCCTTTTTCATTCAGAAACTTGTAACAAACTTCATGAATTACGAGAATTTGCTCGATTAAATTATCCTCCAGAAATTGCCCCAGCAATGATTGCTAGATATGAACAGATGGCTTTAACCTCCTTTTCATGCGGAATCAATTCCAAATATCATTGCGTTGCATTACAACCACCCCCTAAAAATATAGATGAAGCTAAGAGACGGTGCCAAGAACACGACAACCTTTTGCAAACCAAACAATATAAAGAGTTTCTCGTCACTAAGTCTAAGCCTCAGACAAATAAACCTGTTAGACCGCCAATGCAGTCATATAGACCTAACTTTCCCAATTTTGCTAATTTCTCTCATAATCCCTCTACTTCTCGTCCGCTATTACTTATGGACAACAATTTAGCAACCCACAATCATTTCACAATTCTCGTCCAACTTTTAGACAACCATTCTATACTTCCCACAAAGTCGTCAATTTTCGAACGCATTCAACCCCTCTCAACACAATTTTGCAAATCGTCCACAATTTCCTATGAATAGGCTGCCTGTCACCAATACTTCAAGACAAAATAATCAAAATCATCCTACGCCTATGTCAACTTCGACGATCCAGTCACGTAGACCTTTGTAAGACCCAATTTCTTTTCGAATAATGGTCAACGCCCTAGCATAGCTGTTCAAGAACTTACTAATAACGAATCCGAACCCACTAATGAAAGCTCTACAGAAAATGTAGCAAACCCCTTCGAATCTTATTATTCTGAAGCTTGTTGTCCAGAAAATCTCGTAGAAGATCAATTTCAATATTATGAAAACGATTATTCTCAAAAAAAATTTCAATCAACTCCTCATCAACAATCCCCAGAATAGACATTGATTTAAACTCTTATGAAAATATTCATCTCCCATTTCTCTACAATGAAGCTTTGGATTTACTTATTCTTATAGATACAGGTGTTTCTGCATCTCTTATGAATCCCCAAATTGCTTACGACAAATTTCCGGATTATATTTATCCAAAATGTTTTTCTATCAAAACAGCAATTAAAACCAAAATTGGTACTCACGCTTGTAAGATCCCTATCTTTGATGATCTAGGTATTCCAACAGAAGTTGAATTCTTATTACTCCCATGGCATCAAAAATATGATTGTCTTTTAGGTTACTATGACCTACAGAAATTTCACAGTAATTTTTACATTTCCCATAATTTACTTTCCATCGAAAACTTTGAAATTCTATGTCATACTCATAAGGAACCAATCAAAATTCCCAATCAGATTTTCGACACCATTCGTATAGACACAAATGAAGATTCTGTATTTATCCCCCCTGTCAAATACTCGAATTCAGAAAATTACACTCCTAGTTATATTTGCCCTGTCATACATAAAAAGATTCTATTTCCTGAAAATCTCAAATTAATTGAAAGTCATCAGAAAACTATCACGTTTTGCAAATCTCTTCAAGAAACTTTTGAAAATAATACAAGAAGAATTCAGTCAATTATTATTCATAATGTCCAAACTATTGAACATCAGTCTTTGTTATCACACCAGACGATCCATCAGATCTCAATTATTACAAATTTGCAACGATTTAATTCATATCTAAATTCACTTTTATTAGTTCTACAATTGAACCAGCAAACAGGTCTCAACACCTTACAATTATCTCATCATCAGATTACCTTACTTATTGAACATTAAAATCCATTTATAAAGACGAAGAATTATTGCCATTCGACAAAATACATTTATTTGAGATTTATGATCTTTCCCTTTTATCACTGATACTTTTAGAAAACCAACTTATTTTTGTAGTTGAGTTTCCCATTTTAGATGTTAGAACTTATTGCTTATTCAAGTTATTTTCAATCACAGTCAAAAAAGAATTAGTAAAATTACCAAGTGATTATATTTTATACTTTGAAAAGTATTATTATTGCAAAAATATTATAGAGCTAAGCAATCAGCTGTATGTTTGCACGAATACTTTCCAGTCGCCATGTCAACCACTTAAGTTAGACACTTGTGAGTCTGAAAGTCTAGTAAACTACACGCGAATCCTAGAATTTAGTAAGATCAATTATGTAATCGACACTAATGTTTTAACAAAAATCAAGAATTGTAAAGGAATCCATCATAATTTTAGAATGTCATACATTTATTAATGATCAAATATTAGAATTTGACTCTAATTATGAAATTGAATTAGAATTATCCTTCAGAGGTGACAACGATAAATATTCATTTAAGAAAACAAACACTTCACTCGAATCTTATTTCGAAAAAAACCTCACTTCACTTCAAGTTCATTTTGAAGATTTACAGTTTCATTCTACTATGTTATCCTGTTATTTTTACTACTGTAATTATTTTATTGGTTTTATTTATAACAATTTTTGTTAGATACCGTTATGTAAAGGATACTAAAACTCCACCTCAAAGTAGTGATATTTAAGAAACTTCTCCTTCAAATTAAGAGTTCAAATCATTTTTTGAGATTGGAGACCAATCTTTCCGAGGAGGGAGGAGTTATGGAATCCTGATGATTACCATTTCAACGGTACGGCTAACACCGTCCCGATGCCCTTGTGATTAGCGCCGTCCATCCGGTTTCTAGTTACAGCGTTAGGTGTTATCTTTGTGAGAACATTCCTGACTTTGCATTTTGCTATATTTTACTTCTTATAAACTAAATATGAAATGTAACTAGCGTTGTTGTCATCCTGTTTTCATCCAATAAAGTTCCTGCTATAGTTTCGAACCGAAACCACACTGAGTTTCATTTCTTATACGCAATGCTAGTGACATTTACTCGGCTAATCAAAAGAGAACTATGTGCAATGAATAATTGGATTGCATGGCATCTACTATCTCGTATCGCCATATTAATGTGATCAATCTGTAGGCGAAACATTCCAAAGAGAACCGATAGGATATTTACAGAATTGATTCCATGACCTTTAAAATGTCATCACAAAAAATAATCAAGCGATTGAAAAATTGCTACAATATTTTTATCACAGTTCATACTTCGTATGGTATAATTTGTTCATATATCTAAAATGAGTCCGTGACAGAAAGTATTGACAGTAAAGCCAAATGATAAGTAATTTATCTCATCAACTCTCAACTACGCCATAGTTTTCTGACGAAAATTCCTCGGCGGTTTTTCTTCTTTCACGCCGTGCGTTCCATCTCGGGAATCGAAAATCATGTCCGAGTTCTAGTAATCCAACACTAAGATCTTTGGCCAGTGCTTTTGACGTTTTGGAATAGCCGCATCGGTAGTGTGGCTGGAAAAAGCAATCGTTCCTGAACGTGTTTCTGATGTTTCCAGATATTAGAGCTTAGAGCTTTACGTGTTTTGCGATTATTGTATTCTAGCAGCAATTCTAACAGCACTGCTTATGAGCTATAGCTAGTCCTTTCTACCTCGATATGCATCATACATCCAAGGGCGAATTCTGTAAACAGCTTAGGTGTAATAAACTTTTATAAAATAAGAATATATTGTAATTAATCTGTTCAATAACGGTAACAGTAAGTTACGAATTCGATTACTTGGCATGTTCTCTGTTGGTAATTCCAATTAATATTTAGGAGAAAGAGTCTTAATGGTCGACAGCAGGAATGCAATCTCGCGAGATTTCAGACCTAGCCGAGATCTCGCGGGACCACAAAGTGAGTCTCCCGAGATTTCGAGAATTACGAGATCTCGCGAGAGTGGGTACGTTTTTCACTGAAAACAAACGCATGTATAAATATGGTACAAACCCCATTGATTATCAACATCTGATTAAAAATAGAGGCTAAATGTGGTTTATAACATCCCTTTTATCTCAAAATACAAAACAAAGGTTTAAGAATTAAGAATCTCACGGATTCTCATAAAAACATTGAAAAAATGTAATATACTTGAAAGTTATAATATTTTAATCAAATAGTAATAGATTTCAATCTGCCAGTCAGATCAAACTTTTGTCACGCTTGTTTTTATATGGAAAGTTATTTATGAACGCATCGTCATTACTGTCGACCTCTTCATTTTCGCCCAGCACAACAACATTAGATGCTGCAGCTGATGTCGAAGGGAGTGAACTGGTAACCGAAAAGCTTTCTTGAGTATTATAGATAGTTGCATTACACTTTGCAGTGCAATCTTTCAGTGAGTTTGTAAATTTCTTTTCAGATACTGACATCTTGAACATCTAACATTTTTTCTTTTTTCTTCTATTGTCTGCCACGGCGGTTCGCATGACCTTTGGCTTTGTGTTAAAGTACGTCAATCAGTCTGTTATTCTGTCGGCCTGGTCACCCAGAGATCAGACATGAATAAATATAAAGAAACAGAAGACGAAAGAGGAATGAAAAAAAGAGGGAGAGCAAAGAGTAAGAAACACAACTGTTCGAAAAACGCGCCTGAGCATTATTGAAAATTACTGTAATAATTTTGAATGTCGAAAAAGAATTTTATTGGAGTTTTGTTAAAATAGCCTTCATACACCAGGTACTGTCTGCATCGCTGGAGCTATTGACTTCTACTTAACGCCTTTTTTAATACAATAGCGTGGAAAGGTAAATCGTAATGACATAGGTACTTAGGCATCGTTTACAATCTAGTTCAAACTCATCTTAACGCAGTGTCATAAACCGGATATCATCCAATGATGGTCCACTCAAGACTTTAATCATCCCCAGTAACTCGACTCGAGATTACGCATTTCCTCGAGAGGTCCGCCTGTCACTTCATTCCAGGATGAGTCTTCTCGTTAATTGAGGGCATAAAATTAATGGGACCGTTAACGACATTATTCTGTTTTCACAGAAAACATGATGGTCCTAGGCATTCGCTTAGGTTGTCTGTTTCACGAGTGAATATATCGAGTTACTCATCTGACTCGTATTTCGATACTCGTAAGCCCATAAAAGACTGCAATTAATTAATAATCATCATACTCAATAAACAGTACATGCTTAATAAAATGTAAGAGAAGCCCGGGACCCTTTACCACTTACCGCATAGATTCTTGTAGAATGAATTTATTGCCATGATTAAAACAGGATTTTAACGCGCAGTTAGGGAACTCTGATTCACTTATAGACATAATATACATATCCCTATATCTTACATATTTTCTATGCAGTAGACAATTTTATTGGACATGACCTTTGGCTAATGACTGCTGCGTGGAAGGGAGACATTACGCCAGATATAGGGTGATTATACACTGAGTTGTAGTAAGTGAATGATAATCACAAATCGTTATAATTAACATCATTTATTGAAAAATACAACTATCTGAAGGCGGTCTGTCACGATGCAAAATTGTCTTCATAATTCGGTACCAAATCTTGTTAGAAAATGCGTTACTGAATTTAGGTCCCAATTTGTTTACGAATTACAATCCTATTTGTCACGTAAAGGAAACAAACTATAGCTGTCAACTGCGAACTGACATTTATCACGTCAAAGACATTCTAACCACACTTTACGTTGCGGCTGGCTACTCTATCATTTCTATCTATCTTCATTACTTTAAGTTAATATAAAATTGTAGAAAATGGGGCGATCCCATAATTCGCCACCTCATGAAAAAACGAAGTAAATTAAACCGTAAAAGAAGATGATATCGAAAACGAATCAGGGAGAAGGATAGGGGTATGGGTGTGCTCCATCTCCATATGCTGTATAAAGAACTTCTAGTGGAGGATCTACCTATGCTTATAGGCGTAATAGGTTATTTTTATCCAACGCAGCTTATTTGACCTTTCTGTCTTTATAGGTCTTGTTTTTCACAGCATATAAACAATCATATTACTCATACTCATTTAGTGGTATGTCACACTGCACTTTTGACCATGACAGCTTTTAAGTCTTTCAATCTACAGCATAAGCAGGGGAGTTCCGCGAAACTGATGAACACAACTGATAAAAGTGGTTAAGCTTGGACTTGTTGGTTTTCAACCAATTATCGTCTAATCTAAAGATACAAGCAGTTATTTTAACCGTAAAACACAATAAATTGGGGCAGTACGTCCAAATTGACATATATGGACAAAACGACACATTAGTGATATTTAAAAGACTGCGCGGTATAAACTGTCAAAAGTTAGCCAATCAAGAAGCACCTTCACCGGAAAAAACTTTTGAGAGCCGTTTAAAATACAGAAACGGACGCCATGTTGACATTTGTGTTTCGAGGTTGGAAAAAAATTTATTAATGGTCATTTGTTTTTGTTTTCCGGTAAGTTTTCTTTTTTATTTTACTGTCCTATAATTTTATATTTCGAAGCATTTGTGTTTGAGGTGATCGCCTAGAATCTAAAACATTATTGTCACCGCAACAAGATTATTCTTCGAATCGTAATATTTTTTGAGGCTATGTACAAAATGACACAACCACTATGGACAAAACGACATAATGTGTCATTTTGTCCGTAGAGATGGCGGTAAGAAAATTTTTTAAGTAAATCTACGTAAATCTTTTTAATTTACAGATGGCAATATGCCCCGAAATTATAAGAGGACAAGTAATCGGCAATCATGGAGTCAAGACGCGATGAAAAAAGCTATTGAAGCGGTTAAAGAGAAAAAAATGGGTTGGCTTCTGGCTTCTTTCAAAGTGCCACAAGCTACACTAAGGCGGCATGCTTTGGAACAAAATAAAACAGTTGCACCTGCAGCAAAAGGTTTAGGCCGATTTCAGCTAACATTTCTTCTTGAAATTGAGAGACAATTGGTTGAGCACATCAAGCTACTTGAAACTCGCATGTTTGGATTAACGCGTACAATGGTCCAAGAACTCGCTTTCGAATTGGCTGAAAAGAATGGCTTTTCATACAGTTTTAATAAAGATAAGGATAAAGCTGGCCAGGAGTGGCTAGATGGATTTTTAAAACGCCATAAGCACATATCTTTACGAAAACCGGAGCCTACCTCCGCAGCCAGAACCCAAGATTTTAATAGACCTCAAGTAAGAAAGTTTTTCGATAGCTATCAAGAATACATAGACAAACACAAATTAAACGCGAACCGGATCTACAATGTGGACGAATCGGGGCTGTCTACTGTCCAAAGACCTCAAAAGATCCTGGCTACCGCTGGCAGGAAGCAAGTCGGTGCCATTACATGCGCCGAGCGTTAATCCAATGTGACAGTTGTGTGTTGTATGAACGCAGTTGGGTCGTATGTACCTCCTTTCATGATTTTCGCAAGGAAAAATATGAAAAACGAGCTCGTGGATGAAGCACCAACTGGTCGGTAGCAGTAGCTCAAGAAAGCGGGTGGATGACCACTGAAATTTTCGTGAAGTGGCTCCAGCATTTTCAAAGCTTTGTAAAAGCTAGTCATAATGATAAAATTCTTCTTATTGTCGATGGCCATGCCAGCTATAAGTCATTCGAAGCTTTGAACTTTGCCAAGGAGAATGGAATCGAAATTGTTTGTCTTACTCCACACTGCACCCATCCTATGCAGCCTCTCAATGTGTGCTTTTATGGACCGCTCAAGACATATTTTAACCAACAGATTTCTGTCTGGCTTAGAAATCATCCAGGAAGAGTGGTGGCAGCTCTTCAGATCGGATATTTATTTAATCAAGCTTATGGAAAGACTGCTTCAGTTCAAAATGCATGCAATGGTTTCAAAAACACTGGACTATGGCCAGTTAATCCAGACATATTTCCAGATCACTTTTTTGAACCAGCTGAAACAACAAATATGCCAATAGCTTCCACAGCTCATAACTCAGACTCAATCCAGGATCAGAACCTTCCATCGTTGCCAATAGAACCGGAGGCTGGCGAGATTATGGCCCAGGAACAGAATAAGGCCCCTGAATCTTCATCAAAGCCATCCACTAGTTCTTGTAAACCATCTACTTCATCGGATTCTTCAGACGCAATAGCAGTCACTAATGATATTCATAACACACTGACTGGCTTGTTAGACATTTCCCAACCATCCTTTGCATCGACAAGTTCTTCAGCTGTTCCAGTTAATGTCATTTCTCCAGTTTCCAGTGGTAAATTTGTAAGTGGACAGGGTAAACAAAAGCCAAAGAAATGAACGACAACATTCCTACTTACGTCATCACCAAATATGTCAGAATTAAAGTACAAACGAGAGATTACAGCTGAAAAACCAACTCGTAAAAGGAAACAAGCAGTTACTGAGTCTCTTTACATTGATGATGACTCAGATGAAGAGCGCTCTGATCAAGAAGACGAAGAAGCTGATTGTGCCTGTATTTACTGCAACGATCTCTACTCACGTTCAAAGCCTGGTGAGGGGTGGTTGGGTGCAGGCGGTGCAGTCGTTGGGTTCACGCAGCCTGTGCTGATTTGCCAAAGCGTGCCAAAATTTGTTATCTCTTATTTTATCATTTTTGTTATATTGATGACTGTGTATGTCATTTAGTCCATACGACTCGTGTCGTTTTGTCCATACGGTATGGACAAAACGCATTTTTCTTGATCTTCATTTAATACTAAATATTTTGTAAGTGTTGATTTTTCTGACAAAATCTATATGATTCCTGTTAACCGATTAATATAAGCAAAGTAGTAAGAAAAAATATGTGCCTATTATGAATAATATTAAAGTTATTGATGATTAATAAAACGATATGTCATTTTGGACGTACTTCCCCTACTTATTTGAATAAATTTTTTTTCTGAATTATTAAAAACAAAAACATCAGTATCTAATTGGTAATTTGTAATCAGCGACCCAAAAAACATCCAAGCATATTTTTAGATCACTAACTCAACTATTAGGCTTTTGTCTATCTTTTTAATGATCGGTTGCAGTGTAACTTGATGGGAGTTGTATTGAAACAAAACAACAAAATGAAACATGCATGTATTTTTAACTTTCAAAAATATAACTTAGAAATATTGTTGTAAAGGCATGTATTAGCAATATTTTATAAGTGCTAATCCCTGGCGCTTAACATGAGCTATGGACAATTTTGCGGACCTACCTAGTAATTAGGATGTCAAAATTTCGCACAATGAGGTGCTATGTGGGTAAAATTTCCCATCCCACGCAAATTTGAATGTGTTGACAGTTTTCAGAGAACTACATAAGATCATACAGATTTTTGGTATCATTGCTAAACAATAATAACTATACTTTCAATGAATAGCCTTGAATAAGTAAGAACTGTTGTAAAACATACGAAGTTATAAATAAGAAATCATTTTTTTACTTATCACGTAGTTATTCGTGTCTTCAACTATACTAACAACTAAACCGACGTGGATAGAACCACACTGTCAAGTGAGCCTAAAGAACGCCAACAGGTACGCTTGTAGCTGATATTTTGAATGTGCAATGTTGTACCCTGCTAAACTCTACTGGACTTCCCCTCAAATTTATAAAGATAACTTAAAATTGCACATTTTCTCACAGCAACCTAATACATCTCTACATTCCGTGATACCCAACAAAATTTGGACTTGGTAGAACGAGCAAGCCTACGATTTGTTTGTTCTCAAAATTCCGTAGTCAGTGTTCAGGATGCAAGTTCATACTAAAAGTCAGTCAGGCTTGAGCCGCCAACTTGACAGTTATTGAAATTTCACATTGAATTCATACTTGTCTGCGAATATATGTATTACAAAAGTGAGTGGATTCCATACAATCCTAGTGTTCCAGATAGTTGGCAAATATGGTTTCTGTTGATAGCAAAAAGCTGAATAAGAGCAAATCTTCTTATCGGTAAGTGCTATATATCACAGTCATCGACGTTGCGAAAGGGTATGTACCTGAACATTGGGCTTTTACATCGACAGTTGTGAGGTAATTTTGATTTATTTCAATTCACTTGTTTCATTGAGCACTCAGACTTAATCTAAGGTTTCTTAACAGAATTATATATTTAACAACATAGAAAGATGTGTAATATTGGAGATAAACCAGCTTTTTTGATGGATATTGAAAAAGGTCAACCTAAACTTGAGTCTAATTAAAGTGAAAGTTCTCAAGAAGGATATTTTCACGTTATGCGTAGTACTTTTACGATGTCATTTTAGTGCCACAAGAACCTACGGAGGAAAAAAATTATGAATATCAAATTAATTAAAACACTTCCAAAAGGGATAACTACGAGCCCCTTCCCACTTCAGTTGGCCCACTTCAAGATTTGTACCAAAATATGCCTTTATAAACTACACATGACGAAACAATTTACTTCTAAACAATTTATTTTCTCAAAAACATTTTAGATACATTCTAGTCATAAAAATTCATATTTGAAATCACTTAGGCCCGTATCGTCAGTCGTCCCTACAATTATTGTAGGGCGTCTTTATGGCCTCCTTGATGGTCATAGTTTTCTACTTCTCCGTGTCAGAACTCTATTTTGAGGTTATGTCACAAACACCTATTTGCATCAAATTGTTCTTGCTTTTGAGTTATATCATATTTTATCAGCCTGAATTTTCCTACAATTTAAAAAGAAAACACACAATAGGAAAGCGCTGACGCTGACACGGGACAAGTGTAATCTAGAAATTTTTGAAGGAGAGAAAGGAGTATGACAATCAAGGAAGCCATAAACGCGCCCTACAATTGCAGGGACGACTGACGATACGGGCCTTAGACCTGTAAACTAATAGAACATCTGTTGTCGTAGAACCTTTTTCATCTCGTCCAACAAAGTTTCAATAGGTGACAGAGCTGGACTGGTAGAAACCCATTTCAAAAGTGGTACATTATTTTCTTCCATCCGTTTTATAGCCTTTTTTGAAGTATGGCACGCTGCACCATCTTGCTGAAACACACAATCTTGGCCAGATGTCAAACATTCTTCCATCACTGGTAAAAGCGATTCTTCTAAAATTGCCAAATATTTGTTAGTATCTACATTTCCATCAATAAAATGAAGTTTTCCTACTCCTTTTGATGACATACTGCCCCAGACCATAATGGATGCTGGAAATTTCACTTTTCTCTTCAGACAGTCAACATGGAATGCTTCATTGTTTTGCGAATAACTCTACTGCGACTGTCACCAACACAAACTTCGAATCGGGCCTCATCACTCCATTGTATTGCACACCATTGTTGAGGTGTCCCTTGTCTATGTTCTTTAGCCCATCTAAGCCGATTTTTCTTTTGCAGTGGAGTTAATAGTGGCTTTTCTTTGTCCTATAATCAAGTTGTGCAACTTTAGGGTCTTTACTTCACTTTTTTTATAAGAAAACTTACCTTTCAAGTTCTAAATCCCAGTTTGTGGGCCTCTCTACGAGTTGTGGACCTCGAAATTCTCCTTCCAACAGCGTCACTAGATAGAGCACTTAATTGTAAATAATTGGCACGCCTGTTTTTCACGATTATTCTTCTTAATGCTCTTCGGTCGGCATTTGTGATATTACTTTTTTTCACATATCGTGGCTTAATATTAACTGAACCAGTTACGTTGTATCTTCTAACAATATTTCTCACACTGTACCGCGATAAGTCTAACAAAGTTGCAATTTCTGAGTTTAATTTCCCAGAATTAAAAAATGTAATTATCAGTAACCGAATTTTCTCACTAATAACCTTTCCTCTACCCATTTTGAAAACCTTAGGCCCGTATCGTCAGTCGTCCCTACAATAATAATTGTAGGGCAGCTTTATGGCCTCCTTGATTGTCATAGTTTTCTACTTCTCCGTGTCAGAACCTTATTTTGAGGTTATGTCACAAACATCTATTTGCATCAAATTGTGCTTGCTTTTGAGTTATATCATGTTTAAATCAGCCTGAAATTTCCTACAATTTAAAAAGAAAACATGTCTTCACAATAGGAGAGCGCTGACGCTGACACAGGACAAATGTAATCTAGAAATTTTTGAAGGAAAGAAAGAAGTATGACAATCAAGGAGGCCATAAACGTGCCCTACAATTCTAGAGACGACTGACGATACGGGCCTTAGACCTGTAACTAATAGAACATCTGTTGTCGTAGAACCTTTTTCATCTCGTCCCACAAAGTTTCAATAGGTGACAGAGCTGGACTGGTAGAAACCCATTTCAAAAGTGGTACATTATTTTCTTCCATCCGTTTTATAGCCTTTTTTGAAGTATGGCACGCTGCACCATCTTGCTGAAACACACAATCTTGGCCAGATGTCAAACATTCTTCCATCACTGGTAAAAGCGATTCTTCTAAAATTGCCAAATATTTGTTAGTATCTACATTTCCATCAATAAAATGAAGTTTTCCTACTCCTTTTGATGACATACTGCCCCAGACCATAATGGATGCTGGAAATTTCACTTTTCTCTTCAGACAGTCAACATGGAATGCTTCATTGTTTTGCGAATAACTCTTCTGCGACTGTCACCAACACAAACTTCGAATCGGGCCTCATCACTCCATTGTATTGCACACCATTGTTGAGGTGTCCCTTGTCTATGTTCTTTAGCCCATCTAAGCCGATTTTTCTTTTGCAGTGGAGTTAATAGTGGCTTTTCTTTGTCCTATAAACAAGTTGTGCAACTTTAGGGTCTTTACTTCACTTTTTTTATAAGAAAACTTACCTTGCAAGTTCTAAATCCCAGTTTGTGGGCCTCTCTATGAGTTGTGGACCTCGAAATTCTCCTTCCAACAGCGTCACTAGATAGAGCACTTAATTGTAAATAATTGGCACGCCTGTTTTTCACGATTATTCTTCTTAATGCTCTTCGGTCGGCATTTGTGATATTACTTTTTTTCACATATCGTGGCTTAATATTAACTGAACCAGTTACGTTGTATCTTCTAACAATATTTCTCACACTGTACCGCGATAAGTCTAACAAAGTTGCAATTTCTGAGTTTAATTTCCCAGAATTAAAAAATGTAATTATCAGTAACCGAATTTTCTCACTAATAACCTTTCCTCTACCCATTTTGGAAACCTTAGGCCCGTATCGTCAGTCGTCCCTACAATAATTGTAGGGCAGCTTTATGGCCTCCTTGATTGTCATAGTTTTCTACTTCTCCGTGTCAGAACCTTATTTTGAGGTTATGTCACAAACATCTATTTGCATCAAATTGTGCTTGCTTTTGAGTTATATCATGTTTTAAATCAGCCTGAAATTTTCTACAATTTAAAAAGAAAACATGTCTTCACAATAGGAGAGCGCTGACGCTGACACAGGACAAATGTAATCTAGAAATTTTTGAAGGAAAGAAAGAAGTATGACAATCAAGGAGGCCATAAACGTGCCCTACAATTCTAGGGACGACTGACGATACGGGCCTTAACTACCCAAAACTATTTTAAAACGTATTCTGACAGCTGTCATTAATAAAAACAATTGTCATGGCTTTTATTTTTCACAGCCACCTATGCGTTATAGACTTATTTATGCTGCAAATTTGATTAGGGAGTGATAAAGTTGGTGTTTTCTACTATATATTATCAAAATATTCATTGTTAATATTTTAAACCTATAACACCCTGCTACATTTTATTATTTGTGTTTGATAAGAAAAAAACTAAGATTTCAATAGTTGGGCCAACTGAAGTGGGAAGGGGCTCGTATAGTATCAGTGATATAGTAGCATAAATTTCCATACTATGCTCAACTAGGTATTCGCGTTTAGCCAAGAATCTGCTCAGATCACGACAACTATTCAGAAAAACCGAGTAGAATTCATATACAAGATGTCCCACTATTCCAATATCAGGCATTCTGACATTGTTGTTATTTGATGGAGAGAAGGTTTTTTATTGTTTTTCTTCTAACATCGCGAATCAATATTCACTTTCGTTCCTTTGCCTTATTTAACTTATCCTACAACCATAAGAGCCTCCGCAGACTACGACGTATCGTAATCGTATCGTAATACGCATGTAGGACCAAAGCAAACGAGCTCGTATGTGTGCTAACAAGTCCGCACAAGAAGCGGTGCTGCAGCGAAGCCTACGAGATGTTCAGTCGTATTACGATAGTCGTAGCGGTCTGGCGTAAGGCAGGTGTAGAAGCAAGCGTAAAATTCAAAAGTTTTGTTTAATTGCTCTCGATATGGCTGAAGGGTCTCCTTACTCATTCGATAAAAGCTTCGGAATTTATTACCATCTTCTGAAAGTCCATGTGCAGCAACAAACAATCTTTTCTTCTTATTACTTGCGATGTATGGATGGATCCAATGAGCACTTCGCTTTCTACTTTTAACATAATCAAACAATAAAAAATCCTCTTCGTCTGAAGAAAAACGATACGAGTACCTGACGATGCGTGTGTGGAACACTGCAGGTCTCGTAAGCGACCAATATGTGTCTTCAGCTGAACTTGTTATGACAGCTGTACACTCTCCTCGAGGCACCGCGAGTACCAGAATGTACATCGTCGTTGTTTTGATGTCCGTGATCTGATGTACAAGAGTTTAATAATATGAAACTCTAGTAATGCTGTAGAGATTTACTAACAATCGATGCGATTGGAAGCGAAACCAATTTCTTAAATCTAAAGGACTTTTTATGTCATTCTGTTTCTACTGCTTCTAAACACATAGGAGTCTTCCTCGGAACAACCACGACATGCTACCTCCATTTCCACTTCTATTGACTTGCCTCGCCTCATCTGCTATAAGTTCCAAGTGATTGAGTTCATAAATCAGTTCGATTTTCGAGAGTGTACAGGTGGCATAACAAGTTGAGTTGAAAAAAAGTTTACACTCGTCATTCGAACTCTTGCACGAGTGCCGTCGGTGTAACATGACGAAAGCACTCGGCAGAGAGTGTGCAACTGACACTAGATTGGTTAACGTACCTTAACGTATGGATGGTGACGAGGCAGTAAATAAACATGATGCAGTTTTTAAAAGTCGTTGACTGTACTCGCACTAGGCTTTTCTACAGAATCTTTTTGCGTCTCATAGTCGATTTTTGTTGATCTTTAATTCTTTTTGAAAGAACATACATACTATGTCCTGATAACTGTACAAATATATGATATAACATCAAAAACAGCAGTTGTCATAGGAAACAGAGAATATCAAAGCAACGTTCATGAAAATATTTACAAAATATTAAGCAGAAAAGTATAAAAACCACAGACATTATTGTACCTCATGTTTTTAAATCTCTTTTTTTATAAGACCTGTGAGGTATTTTTTTGTTCCATGCGTCCACTGATGATGAGTCTTGAGAATTTTCGTCGTCAGTAAACATTTCTTCATCATGTGACCATATATATCTGGAAATAAGAAGATTATAGTGTTTTATTTCGACGGACCAAGTCAATATCCCCGAATGAATGTAAAATCTGTGTCGGACGACGTAACCACGTATATACCGCCTAGCTTCTTTTTCGAAACCAGAGGTTGCAGCCGTAAGGTGTTTCAAAACGAACGTAGAGAAGACAGAACTTGTTATAAATATAAAAATAAAAGGACTGAGACATTGGGCTCGTTGATAACGACAGATACCTTCGTTACATGTTAAAAATGTCAATACACCCGAACATATTAAAAATTATTAAACAAGAGAAGACATTTTAGGGAAACAATCGGAATGCAGTCTCTAACCTCCTATTTTCGCTACACATAGAGAGGGGAAGGCACGGAAAGATAATGCGCCGACAGATGACAAGTGATTGACGCGACGGAATGTGGAACTGTAAACCTCATTGTCCAATTTGTGTATGAAGTATACGAGTGACGCTCGGTAAACCTCCACCCAAATTACTAAAATGCTGAATTAATTTGTTTTGGAAAAATGTGTAGTTCATATGAGTGTACGAATTTGAGTTTATATTAAAGGTTGTGAGTGAGAAATTTCAATTACCAGGATAGCAATTGGAAATGTATTTTAATTTTGAGACGATGTTGGTTCGATTTGGATATGTAGCCGTTCTAGCTTTTCGCAATCCAACAGGTAGGAATAAATGACACTAAGCTGCTTAACATCAGCCTTTTTATTCATGCAATGCTCTGTCATCAAAATGTGGGATATTTCTAAAAATAAACGTTTTGAGAGTCTTTTTTCTTTGTCAAGAACCTCAATACTGCCATAATTCAAAGAGTGACCTGTGTTGTTAATATGAGATGCCAAAGCACATCTCTCTGGATGTAATCTGGCGTCACTTTTATGTGAAGTTATCCTGCCTTTCAGTGACCTCGAAGTTTGGCCTATATGAACTAAATTACAGTTGTTGCAATTAATGTGATAGACAGAGTGTTGGTTGAATCAAGCAACTGAACCTTATCCTTCATTTTGGACAACAAACTGTTGACTGTGAGTACTGATTTACAAGCAAGACGACAACTAATGAATTATATAGCCTGATCAATTTTGTTGTTAGTTCTTTGATGTATGGCAAGACAGCATAATTAACTCTGGAAATAGGAGCAACCACTGTAGTGCTGTTATTCTCATTGGTTGAAGAATTCATGGGTGTCTGGTTGGACAAAACAGTGTTGTCATTTTCACTATTGTTATTCGTCATTGGCAAAATATTCGGAAGAAATTGGTTTCCTGTACTTCAGGTCTTACCACGAACTTAAAATAAAGAGAAACCTGGTGAAACAAATGAAGAACAGGGTTATACAAATCTCTGACAGTACTTTCCATCTTTCCAATTTAAGGAAGCTTTCAGTCTTATTCATCAACAATGGCTATCCGAGGTATTTGGTTAACAGAATCTTGTTCAGCTCTCCTCCGAATATTTTGCCATTTTGACGAATAACAATAGTGAAAATGACAACACTGTTCGGTCCAACCAGACACCCATGAATTCTTCAACCAATGAGAATAACAGCACTACAGTGGTTGTTCCTATTTCCAGAGTTAATTATGTTGTCTTGCCATACATCAAAGAACTAACAACAAAATTGATCACGCTGTGTAATTTCTTTAATTGTCGTTTTGCTTGTAAATCAGTACTCACAGTCAACAGTTTGTTGTCCAAAATGAAGGATAAGGTTCAGTTGCTTGATTCAACCAACACTGTCTATCACATTAATTGCAACAACTGTAATTTAGTTCATATAGGCCAAACTTCGAGGTGGAGGTCTCTGTTGAATTGCGAAAAGCTAGAACGGCTACATATCCAAATCGAACCAACATCGTCTCAAAATTAGAATACATTTCCAACTGCTATCTTGCTAATTGAAATTTCTCACTAACAATCTTTAATATAAACTCACATAACCCATCTCTTCAAGTGTGTATCACTATCTCACATTCGTACACTCATATGAACTACACATTTTTCCAAAACAAATTAATTCAGCATTTTAGTAATTTGAGTGGAGGTTTACCGAGCGTCACTCGTATACTTCATACCCAAATTGGACAATGAGGTTTACAGTTCCACGTTCCGTCGCGTCAATCACTTGTCATCTGTCGACGCATTATCTTTCCGTGCCGTCCCCCTCTCTACGTGTAGCGGAAGTAGGAGGTTAGAGACTGCATTCCGATTGTTTCCCTAAGATGTCTTCTCATGTTTAATAATTTTTAATATGTTTGGGTGTATTGATATTCTTAACATGTTACGAAGGTACCTGTCGTTATCAACAAGCCCAATATCTCCGTCCTTTTGTGTTTTATATTTATAAGACGTTCTATCTTCTCTACGTTCGTTTTCAAACACCTTGTGGCTGCAACCTCAACGACGAGTAAGTTGTTTGACAATTTAAATCTGTTCTGTATTCTTTGCTAGCATCACAATTGTGTTTTCAGAATCCTGATGAAGGCTCCATAGAGAATGCCGAAAGCTTGATTTTATCGTCAAAAGAGTCAACTTAAGCCTAAAAATTTCCCAATTAACAATTAATTGTATTTTGTGCCCAACTGGTCGTTGGCTTAGGCAATGACTACTGCTCACGTTATATATTATATATATATATATATATATATATATATATATATATCTATGAGAAAGGTATATAACAAAAAGTAGGAAAATAATGGGAAAATATGCAAAGAAGGAGGAAAGTGGATTCGAGCAGAAAATAGGATAGGTAACCCGAGCGATACGTATTTCTGCTGGTTGGCTTCATCAGGCCCGAAATGAATGCACATATGAAACTACAAAAGTAGATACAGACACACGAAGTCCACAACAAGAACCAACCTACACACTGTAGTATAAAAAAGGGCTAGAAGACCTCGAATTTTCAAGAAGACATCTAACCACAACCACGCGGCCGGTTATAGCCACTTGCTGTGGTTCTTCAAGCCCAAAGGATCTACAAAGAGAAAATGATCCATCTTCGTTTCCTCAGGTTACACCCGTATCCTGATGTGTGGGCATGTGTATCTACTTTTGCAGTTTCATATGTGCATTCATTCCCTGCCTGACGAAGCCAACCAGCAGAAATACGTATCGCTCGGGTTACCTATCCTATTTTCTGCTCGAATCCACTTTCCTCCTTTTTGCGGATTCTGCCCATTATTTTACTACTATATATATAGTGTTTCAGAACTATGGGATCAAACTTCTAGGGGTTATTCAGTGTAATAGTAGAAAACATTTGAGTATAGGCACCCATATCCGGAAAAGTGTCACTACGGCACTACGGCTCTAAGATGCGACTTACGGAAGTACGACTCCGAAATAAGTTTTTTAAAAAACTTTTATTTTCAAAACGTACAAAATTTATGTGAAACGGACCGAAAAATAGCTAGAACTGAATACAATGCAAATTATGGTATATTTATAAACTCTGTAAAAAGTGCAAGCTATGTGAAATGCAATTCTACAATTATGCATATCTGGTGTCTGTAACTCCTCCCGCCGTAGAAACTGAACCAACGGTGAAGTTTGAAAGTTTTCGTTCTTCTTGGATAATTTCTATCTTCTTTCTCTTTAACGTTTGTCTTCTATAACTTATCTTCTATCTTTATCGTTCTTAGCTTCAAACAATAATTTCGGTTTTTCTATTTTCTTTCTTCTTTTCGGCTTGTTTTCTTTTGAAGTAAGATTTAACAGTGAGGTAGCCACAGATGATGGCAATTAGGGAATACAGTAAGATGGTCCAGATGCTTACTGATTGGAGATCAATAATTGGATTATCGGGGATTTCTTGGAGTCTGTGCTTGTTCAAATCCAGGGCGGCTCTAATGTTGTTCGTTTCTTCGAAGTTAATGGATTCTAGTTAAAGAGGTTCCAAATGGGTAGTCTGCGTTTTCTTGAATCCTTCAAAAACTAGCTTTGGTAGTGCAATATACTTAAACTGTGATTTTGGGTTCCGGCGACTTTTTATAACAGTTGAACCCATATAGACTTCGCAGTTTTGGCAATTTTCTAGTAGATATGTTCCTCGAAGTGGAATTTTGTCTTGGTTTTCACCACACCTATATGTGACAATTTTTCTGTTGGGAATAACTAACATCCAGTTTTCTGCATCTAGCTTTTTGACTTTTTCTTGTTGTACTTGTATCGGCATTTGAAAACAGTTAGTAATATTCTTTTCATACAGTAACATTTGAACTTCACATGGATTTCCTTTGCTTAGCTTTACTGGATTCTTCTCGTGGCAAACATATTGTTCAGGCTGAATTTCTTTGCAGTTTTTGTCAAAAAGGCTATAAGCGTGCTCATTTAGGATTAGGTAGTTTGAGTAAGGAAATATGACTTTAAATTGATTGGATGTCGTCGTAGGTAATGGGTATAGGTGATAATAATTATATCTATCGACCTCTACTAAAGGAATTTCCAGAATGAAAATAACTTGATTGCCTTTACTATAACTTTTGATTTCTAATATTTTCTCAAAAGCAGAATGTTTCTAAAGCAGGTTCAAATGGTAGTTTGACATTGTGTAAATGTTCTGAGATAAGCTTTATTTCTACTAGAAGGTCTTGAGGTTTCAATATAGAATTATGGAATGTATTAAGTTTTGCAAAAGATATTGCAACCTCTAACTTTTCTAAAACATCGTGGATATATCGAAATGAAGTTAATATTTGTGAAATTACAATTTGTATAAAAAGTTCGTTTTCTAAGCGTAAATCTTTTGCCTGAAGAGCCATCAGAGATTTCTCAAATTGCAGGATACGTGATTCTAAAATTAATTGGTTTTTTGTAATATTTTTCGATGTTTGCTCAAAAACATCTAGAGCCTGACTGATAATTGTAACTTGTTCCTGGACTAAAGTTTTGATTCTCTCTTGATTTTTCGATAATGATAATAATGCTTGATCATAACGTTTCGCATCTGATTCATCTAAATTTCCTGTTATAATTTTTAT